GAAGTATAAAAAAGTTTTCGTACCGGCACTAACCTACATACAAACATTGCAGTTGTCAACTGAATGTATACTTCTTGTTACTATGGTAGAAACTGGATGACGATATATTTGAAATATCTTTTTGCCAAAAACAAATTTGAAGTCGTTTAGTGTTATATTTGTTTTTTATACAATTATTTGAAGAGAAAAATGTGTGAAAAAATTGAGCTCAGCGACGTCAATGTCTCTTGATAGATAATTATACATACATAACATAAACTCTCACGCCTGTCACCCAGAGGGGTAGGCGGAAACTACAGACTTCCATTTAGCACGATCCTGACATACCTCTCTCGCCTCTTCCACATCCATATACGAACATGTTAAGGGTACTCTTAATTTGGCCCATTTTTAATATATCGCCAAGGTAATTTATAATGTTATTTATTAATTTAATATTCTTATTTTAAATTAATAAATAACATTATTAATGAATTAAATAAAATATTTATTCCCATATAAAAACGTCTTTATAGGCACTGAAAAACTGTAAAGAAACCTCTCGGCTTGTCGGTAAAGTTTAACGTGATGTTTTCCTATATTTTTCACGAATACTTGACATTGATTAAAATAAGTTTAATTACTCGTGATAATAAGTGGAAGTGCTCTACCAAGGAGTGTTCTCTACCAAAATTGAGGCTTTAGTGGAAGTTTATCAAGGAACTGTATTGGTTCATGTAATGAACGCTTCTAATTAATTCGAAAATGTACCGTGAACTTTCCAGCCAGACTCTCAGAGCTGAAGTTCAGTTTTCAGCTCTTAGTCATGCAATCTAGATCTGAAACAGTTGGGACTACCAATTGTGAAAAAGGATTATTGCTCCGAATGTTTCTTGACTGTAAGGCTGTCAATAAATTTTTAGAGTTAGCAGTGGCTATATTCCAAATAGATACGTTAATTTAAAGATCTCGTTCCAAATAGATTAAACGCCTGTATATAATGCCAAGGGTCACTTTGAATAAATGTGTTTTTCATAAACCACTTTGACATCGACAAATACACAACTTTATTATATCTTTAAAAGCTATTTACATGTATATTTTATTTTAATGTGTAATAAAACTTGGGAACATACACACTATACAAACCCAATCACAAGCCCATTGATGAACATGGGCTACCCCCATAGATTGCCACAAAATACAGTCCTGAGCCTTCGTGTTTCATCAGGTTGTCACTCTATATCGGATAGAGGGTCATCCAACCTTACCATTACGAGAATGCCACCCGAAAACCTTTTCTTACTATACTTGATGTGAATATTATACAGAAAACTTTAAAAAGTAATATCGAAAAAAATCTTCGAAGTAATATTCTATCTCTATAACACTTCAATATTTAATATTTTATTAACTTGATATTTTTTTAAATAATTATAAATAATAACGCTTATCACAAAGCAATAAATATTAACACGCGAAAGCTAACCCAGTCGTTGTTTTTTTATTAAAAGATATTTCCCTTGAATTTTCTACTCTTGCACGATGCAGCTTCGTGGTAGAGCTAGCTGCAATAGGATCGTCTCAACCGGGTTAGGACCACGCTCTCACAAAATATCAACGTAAAATAGTACCTTAACGCTGTTGTTTGTATGGCGAGTGTGGAATTATTTATTAAATTTTTTTATTATTAAATTTTTCGTATTTATATATATATATATATATATATATATATATATATATATATATATATATATATATATATATATATAACCGGAATCTCGGAAACGGCTCCAATGATTTTCATAAAACTTATTGTCCAGGGAGTTTCGGGGGCAATAAATCGATCTAGCTAGGATTTATTTTTAGAAAATGTCTTTTTGTCCGTGTTTTCAGGCAATGAAAAACTGCTACAATATAAGAAGGTAAATTTTAACACTGTGTTAATGATCGTAATAGCTCAAGTGGATATCGAGCGGTCGCGAAATTGTAATGCCTTGGTTCGCGTCCTGTCTTGGGTCCGATCTTTTTTCTTTTTTTTCAAGTTTCCTTCTTTTGTGAGAAAATCTATTATTTCAAGCCCTTTTTTATTATTTTGTAAATATTTTTATTACTAATTTTTAAATATTATATATATAACCGGAATCTCGGAAACGGCTCCAATTATTTTCATAAAATTTATTGTCCAGGGAGTTATATATATATACAAGAATTGCTCGTTTAAAGGTATAGGATTAAAGGTATAGGATAAAACTGTTTTTTCACTTAGTGGACGTACCTAAAATTGTAGATTTTGAGGAAAATTTGCGATGTTTTTCTATCGAGTCAAAATGTGTCAATCGTGTTTTGGCCACCATAATTCACTAAGAAAAATCTTTAACTTTCAAATTAAATTTAAAAATAATGTGAATTCGTAGTTTTTAATGACAAAAAATTGCAATTTTAAAGCGTGAAAAATCTGCTTTTGGCGCCCATATAACCTAATGTAAGCTTTATAAACACTAATTTTTTCGCGCGGGATTCGAACCCGCGGCTCTATAACACACAAATTATAATGAGTTTTTATTTATAAATGGACATATTTAACTTCTGAGTATTGACAAATTAAATTATATGCAATATTATATTGAGAATGTTATTACACTTAACCTACTACGGTAAGACCAAAGGTGTATGCATATAATATGCTAAGTTAAAGTAAAATGTTTATATAGCCATCGATTATTTATATCTTCAAAAACTAATAGAAGATTGCAAAAAAGTGTGTATACAACAAAATATCACTTCACGTCTTAAAGTGAAACCACGTCTCGCAAAATTTAAATACTGTAAAGTAGTCACGAATGTACGCCATACGACAATGCTTTCTAATAAACCCTTTAAAGGTTGATTATTCTTAATTTTACCGTAATCAAATTCTAGTTTTAACTTTTATCGTTATTCCATTACGCTTCTTAAAAAATCCCGTAAATTTTGCCTTTTGTTTTATACCATGTTAAAGCGAATAAGAAATAGGTCTTAAGTGCCTACTTCGTACGCTTATAAATAAAGTTGTCCATTGTTCCCATTTTCTCACAGACACTGTTCTTTATAATTTTTTACAGCGTCTGCAAATTTTAACTACTTTTTTTATAAAAATATGTAAAGTATTTTTATGTTACGTGTTAAAATCTCGTATGCCTTAATTCATTAATCTCGTTTCAAATTACAGCTTATCGTGTGCTTTCCAGCATCTGTTATAAAAGAGATTGAGAGATGTCTCAACCATTACAAAACCACGTATCCTTGCAAGAGAACACCGGTGCCTATTAAAGACGATTAGCGAATCTATTGTAATAAAAAATCTGACCCACACCCACAGAATACCTACCTCATTCGTAATGTCCTATTAAAGATATGTAATCATAAGCCTTATTTATTTTTACTTTATTTTCTATTCAGACTAGACGATCTGTAATCAATAGCAAAAAGTAACATAACAGTAAATCATATATTTATTGCTTTATATTTATACGCATGTATTGAAAGGTACGAATCTGAAACATCACTATCCGTTATTAAATAAAATTATTTCCCTAAAACCAAAACATTTGAAGCCATAACATATTGCCTTTTAAATCAATATTCTATGAAAATAAAGGCAAACATGAATTAAATTTGTAAATCACTAATTTTGTGATGATCATTCAATAGTCATGGGCGCTAACTAGTAATTACAGCCCCTTTTTGTTCTGACACAAATGAGCTCACTAGAGGCAAGGGATGTCTAAAACATTTTCTACCGCAATACGTTAGCTCTGCAATTTATTTGTCTTACCAGACAGTTAAACGCGCTTTAACATAACCAAGCTTTTACTTTTATGTTTTTGAAGAAGAGTTTTTAAAGTTTCAACGATTTGTTTAATTTATATTATTGCCAATATATTCATAAAAATGGACAAATTACAATTTTTTTAAATATTTTTTATAAACTTTAAATTTTAATATACTCATGCTATCTTTTGCAACCCGGTATCCAAGTAGCGACTAATGACTATTGAGAAATTAGTATAAACTCAGTTTGAATTCTTTTTAAAAAAATTAAAAAGCGTCATAAAGAAAAATATAACTGAGAAAAAAATGTGTAAGATAGGTACTTTTGTCTAAACAAGCGGGAAACATTGCTCTTATTTTATTTTGCTGTTTTCTTTTACACCCAGAAAGTAGATCAGCGTGAAGTAGTCGCTTATAATAATAACAGCTACAAAATTGCCTAATTTCGACATACATCTACTTACACGCCGTATGAAAAAATTTCTTAAGACATGCGCAGTTGAATAAGTAATATCTCACGTGCTTTTAATATTTTTAATATATAACAATTCACGGGTAGAGTTAGGTCAAAAACGCAAAACTATGTTTACATTTATTAAAATATATTTCTAAGAGTTCTAATAAACACATTGTACCCAGCAACTGTCTTATTATCAGAATAGTAGCGTTGAACCAAACGCTCCACAAATACCTAGATGATTCCTTGTGGTTTACGATTTTACAATCTAAGTTTAGAATTATTATAAACCAGATGGCTAGCTAACTCTTATTAAGAATTATTTTAGGATTTAAACACATTTATGAAGAAATATGTTATCAATTTATATTATTATAACATAATTTACAACAAAAATATAACACAAAACATAATGTGAGTAGTTTGAGAATTATCTAAAAACATTCGCTTTAATGGCAACAAAAATAAACAATATTACTCAACTGTTGCTAAAAGTTTCTATACTTTAAAAATTAAGTCGACTTACCGAAAGTTTTAATACTCGAGATCGATGAAGTTAACGCGAAAGTGAAAAGCCGAACTCCCAGGTGTACTTGCAGATGCGTGTACCGCGTTATCAATTAGCTTCGGCGAGCATGATCGCGCGAATGAAATAGGTATACCTGGCGCGTAAACAGTGCAGCAAGGCCGTCGCCGACGGCGACCGCTAGGCGAATATCCCGAGAGAGCGTCGTGCACGAGCAAGAAACGCTCAGATCGATACCGGTGCTACCTCGCGCTCCCTTTTGAGTGCTCGACTAAATAGGGTCGAACTACCACGCAACGGATCTTTTCGATAGCTATAGGGACTATAGGAGAGACCTCTCGCATCAAACGACGGTCTCGCTATGACGGCGTGCCGGGCGAATGGACGAAGCTCCGAACCGCATTTCATTTTCGTGACGTTGCGGGGATCCGTGAGATTCATACGGGGCATGCGCTCTAAGGAGTAGGCGCGGCAACGTGAGGCGATGAAGGTGGCAGCAAGTGAGGCGAGCGTAGAACAAAGCGGCGGTGCTTGCGAGCGCTTGGGCTCGACCGGTGGCTGCACACCGCCACTTCGCGCGCCGCCTCTTCTTTGCCGTCTTAACTTAACGCACGCAACATCATCGATCATCACGCACCACCCGCGACCTCCGCCAAACCACCTCAGAATGCTACAGCGAATAAACTTTGCATATTGATTTCACACACTGTTTCGGTGGCTATTTCCATTTACCAACAGAAATATAAACTGCGGCATTATACAAAGTCTCAATATAAGAAAGTGAACAAAATATTACGTAAAAACCAACTACAAAGAACAAAAGGTATAAATAATTTCCGCATTATAACTTCTGAACTTAGAGTATACATAAGCAAGCATTCTGTAGCTGTTCTTAAGACTTGGGCTTCAGAAATTATTAGAAAATCTAAGAGTTGAGTGGAAAATATATTATTGTTTTAGGTTTTCAAGTCTTATTTTACTTTCTATTGAAAGTTCATTTTGTCCTTTTTAAAAGTTGAACAATTAGAGTAACTTTTTTCTTTATTAAAGTCTAACCAATCTATTAAAAAAATAATCATTTATATCAGTTCTACCGTTTCTGAAACATCGATGCAAAAATCAAATGCGTCGAATATAGAACCTTCTGATTTTTGACCTCGGTAAAAATAATATTACACTTATGTATAAATACAATACACCCAAATCATGCACACGGCATTATATCATGCCGTCAATCATGATCAATTTGCTGAAGAAAAATAAATTCAAACTCATAACATGTTTTTGTCAGTTTGATATTTATCAGAAAGTGGCAAATGTTCAGAATGAAATTTGAATTGTCCTTACAACTTTGTGCTATAGTTAACATGAAAAAGTTACGGTTACGTTAAATGGGCTTTCATTACTTTATAACAGAAAAGCAAAAGTCAATAAAATTTGCGTTTAGCTATAAATATTTTATTTAAATTTACAATTTATACTAGCCGCAGGAACCCATGTTATGATTGTTATAATCAAGCAATGAATATGTATTTCAATCAAATTTATTATATTTAATAATCTGTCAAACCCGACAACGAGGAATTTTTCATAAAATACAGAAATATTTTCTTTATTCTAAATTAGCGTCATTGATACACTATTTATTTATACGACGTTTCAACTTCAAACAATTGTAATTAATAGGTTCTACTAATAAAATAGGAAATAAATAAAACCCTATAGAAATTTATTTTTAGAATAATACACAGCAGACGGTTTGACAATCAATTATATATTTTAGCAGCTAATGAATATTTTCCGAAGGACTTTTCAAAGCTAGAAAAATTGAAAATAAAATTACACTTAATGCAGTTATGCAGTTATAATGTATTGACGGCTGTATAAGCTTGTAATTTAATTTCCACGAACTGCATTTTACGTGGTACAGCTGTGGTTGAGCCATGCTACAGCTATATCGTGGTTGTAGTACGAATGGGTCTGCTTGATCGGTGATAAACCATGCGCTCCGAACACCAGCGTGAAACAACAGTTTATTGTTGCTATGTTTCATATGGTGAGTAAAGTGAACCGAAGACCTTTCTTATTGGAAATGAAGCATTCCATATTAGTCCCTAAGAGTGAAAAGACATCGGCAATTTGGTTCCTAACCGAGAATAGACGTAGATGTCTTATAGGCCACAGTATCCACTTACCATCAGGTGGACTGTGTTCGTTTGTCATGCTTATTCTATAAAAAATTATATTTTTTTTTGTCTTTTCCCAAAAAATTGTAATAAATGCAAACATGAGCTGAGTGAAAAGGAAATATTTTTGCTGTCAATAATGCCCGCTCTACACTCAGCCCATGCTTCGCGAGCGAAGACGCCAAGAGGTAGGAACATTGTGCGAACGCGTAATGTGGGAACGATTAGCAAGCACCCTAGCGCGCATAACACTTCCGATATTTATCGATTTTAGGTGGTTGATAATTAAAAAGGAAATATAAATTGAAACCGACTTCAAAAAGTAAAAAGAATATTTGCACAAGTTGCTTTAATTTTTCGATACACTACGTCTTACCAGCTTACCACTGAATCGGTAGCAATTATGTGGAGATAATTTTATACTTTTTTGTTCATGGAGTCTGCTTTTTATTAAAAGTTAATTTTAATAAAAAGTAACTAAACTTCTATAACTTCCAAAATTATATAGTAGATATTAAGCATGTATATTTTTACTAACTATATTCTATGTATTCTATTTATATGCATTTTACTGTGTAGTGTATGTCTAGTGTACGCTCATGTATATATACGATATAGTAAGAGACATTCAGGAGCATTAAATCTACATTAAAGACCACTATACGTGATATTTATTCCCCGAGCCTCCCAACACTACATGGCGACCCTGCCATGCGATGCGCTGTTACAAGCGCACCGTTGCGTCGGGACCTGCATAAAAGATAAAGTAATTTATTGAATAAAATAAATACAAATATATATAATAATAATATAACAACAAAGAGAACATAATACCGGATGTGAAGAATAAAATTTAAAATTCGAACCAATGTAAGAACAGACTACAATTTTTTGTAAAAATCGAAAGCGATGATATATAAAGAAAAAATATCATAGAAGAAAAGAAGAAAGACCTGATGCATAAATTATAGAAAAAGCTCTAGTAACATTGCTATTAAATCAAGATTGACAAGTTTCAATAAAGAAGATTCCAAGGTCCAGAAAACATCACAAGTAGAAAAATTATTGGTACTTTTAATAGAAAAATGCATAACAATGTATTATACCGCAACAATTAATCGGAAAATAACTACTTAATAATGATAATAATAATATTTGTTTTGCAACAATATAGTTTTACAGTGGTGTTTAATTATAATTCTATATATTCTTCTATAGTGGTGTGCAAATATATAATAGTCAAGTAACAATAACAACATATCGAAATTTTAACAACATATAAATTATTCAATACTAATCAATTGATATGGTAACTAATTAATTACGTAACAACATCAGAGGAAATACCAATATTTATAAAGTACCCACGTGATAAATATCACGAAATAAAATATAAATGAAATGAATTAATACTCCGATTCCCGATATCTAATAAATAAATATATAACTAAATGAAAGGAAATAGAGCTAGCTAAAGGTCAAAATTATGGAAAAAATACCTAATAATCGACAACAACACAAGATAATAATGGGATCCCCGACCAAATCCAAAAGTATGATAAATTTATGATAATCTAAAAGTGAGATAGGTAGTTATTTCTGTATAAGGGATATTAATGTTACTAACAAGTTACACATGTAAAAAATATATATTAATCAAACATGATAAAATACATTTTCGCGTAAATTTATATGAATTTGCAAAATTTTTTCATTCAATACACATTTGATTCATATTTACAATAACTTTACTTTAAATTTCTTTTTTTTTGTCTTGTGGTCCTTTTTTGTAAAATTTGTACAATTTTAAACTACATTTGTTTTATATATTATTATAAATTTGTTAATGGAATAGTGTTTATTTTTTCTTTATAAAAGGCAACGAAACCTAAAAATTATCTTATTTGCTTAAAATCTTTACTAATGTTTATTTATTTATTAAGTACAGCCAACAAATCTTAAACCAAAAACATTAAATTCTTAAGCTATTATCTAAGATTTAAGCTAAGTGCAGATTCAATTATAGGCTGCCACGACAGGCAAATGTGAGTGTTTAATGCTTATTTAAAAAATTACAAAATATAAGAAAAACTAAACTTACCAAAATTATTCTATACTCAAACTTGCACCTAGAAGTAACTTTTTGAATTTAGAGAGGCTATTTGAAAAATTGTCTACATCCGTTTTTTTCTGGAGCTCAAGTTAGTTAATAAATATTTTGTTAAACAAATTTTGCTGTGTACCTAATAGTGTATTCTTTTTTATATCAATTTCTGTCTTAATTCAGATAAACATATTCCTTAGAAGTCATGAAATAATGAGTTTTCGAAATTATAAATAATTTAAATAATAAATATTTGTTAATTTACCTACCTATGTAAAAGTATTATGAAATTAAATATAAAAATCTATATTTAGAAGTATAAACTATTAGGCAAGATAAATCCTATACCTTTAAACGAGCAATTCTTAATATATATATAACCAGAATCTCGGAAACGGCTCCAACGATTTTCATAAAATTTAGTGTCCAGGGGTCCAGTTTCGGGGGCAATAAATCGATCTAGCTAGGATTCATTTTCAGAAAATGTCTTTTTGTCCGTGTTTTCAGGCAATGAAAAACTGCTACAATATAAGAAGGTAAATTTACACTGTGTTAATGATCGTAATAGCTCAAGTGAATATCGAGCGGTCGCGAAGTCGTAATGCCTTGGTTCGCGTCTTGTCTTCGGTCCGATTTTTTTCCTTTTTTTGTAGTATTTTTTAAAAATACGAAAATTTTAATTAAGCTAATTGCACTCATGATTTTTTATTCAAACAACCAGTTCAGTTTTTTCTATTATGTCAATAAGATAAAAAAATATTATTCATCAGTATGTAATTTGTATCTAAATGTAATTTACAAAAAAAACCGAGCAAAGCTCGGTCATCCGGGTACTTAATATTATTCACCATATCATTTTAATACATTGTTAGAATTAGACACCATTATACGACGTAATTGAAAAACTTTCCCATATGCGTACGTAGAAATAACAACAAAGGTGTCATAAACCGCTTACGCTACGCTGATTATGATTATGTTGCACTAGGAGCGCCGTAAGACAAAACGTGTAATATTAAACGGATATCATTTATTGCCAACTAGTGGTCACTCCAGTATAAGGCGAATAATAAACAATACAAAGAAAATATTCTTTTAACTGAGGTTAGATAAGGATATTACTAATTATGTAAATTGATGTAACACGTGGTATGTGGTAGAGCCATGCTACAGTTAATTAGTAGTAGAGTTGGACCGATTAGTACTTTCGCCGATTAGCCGATTAATCGGTTAAGAAATGGCCGATTAATTGGCCCAGCTGATCCCTATCCGACGATAAATTCAAATGGTGGAACAAAAATTCTTCCAGATATCCAAAAATGTCCCGTTTAGCCAAAGTT